ATCTAGTATGCTTACAATTTAGTGAAAATAAAGAAATGTAGATTTTAAGATTTTGTATTATACAGGGATTACGGTTGACCTTTGTAATTTTTTTAGGCGGTGTTTCAATAAAGTTCTTTTTTTTTTTTTGTATGAGTATTTGGTGCACATGTGGAAAGCTTATATTTGCTTGGTAATCACAGACAAAAAACATGGAATCTCCAAATCAAAATAAATCTCTATGCTCTACCTGTTATACAAGGCTGCTTATAGGCCAGGAATGCACCTATTGCATTAAGTAATGGAGACCTGTATGTAGTAGATGCTAACAGCTTTATAAAGAGAGGGTAAATGTGCATACTTCAGGATGTAAGATTCTTTAAGTAATAACCTGGTCTCCTGCCGCTAGTAACTGTGTGGATGGTGACTCTCTAAATCCTTGCCAGCTACCTTCATCCATTCCTAGAGCCACTCGTAGCCTAGTCACAACTGGTATACCAAAGTATTGTTGCACTAATGCCAACATTACCAGTATTATCATGAGGGTCATTAATACTGACACTAGCACCAAACCTGTGGGAGAGAAGCAAATTTATAATGGCTTTTTATTTATTAATTTACATGACTATACATTTCAAAAATAACCTCAATTTCATTTATTTAAATTATAATTCACAGAATACTATCCAAATTTCTAATGGTACTGTATATTTTATAAAGTATATAATTTAACTACAATGCTGCATTGATGCATGTAGTGCTTTCATTACTTATGTAATACAGTATAGTAATGGGATGTACAGTAGGAAGTACAGTCATTAATTGGTTCCAAGAGCAGTGGCGTAACCTGCTTTTGACATAAACCGGACATAATGCCTTTATATTATGACAAACTCAGTAAAACTACCATAAATAACTCACGAAAGAATATAACTACAGTGGACCCCTGAGTTTCATGAGCCTTGCGCTTCGTGAATTTGTACTTTCAGCAACATTTTTCATCAAAATATAGTCTTGCATTTTGTAATTTGCCTTGCGATTCGTCCATACGGAATGCAGCCAGGCATACACAAAGGCTCCCACACACCATTCAGAGTCAATGTGGCATTGTTTCTGGGCGAGTGACCATCACCCCACGCGTTCATACGATACATTTCAGAATAATCCATTGTTTTTTGTGCTTGCAGCTGCTAAATAAGCCACCATGAGCCAAAAAGAAAGCTCCTAGTGCCAGCCTTTTAGTAAAGAAGGCGAGAAACACAATAGAATTCAAGAAAGAACACACCAGCCAGGATACTTCCCCACACACTATTTGATTTGAATGGGATTTGCACACGAATGAATAGAATTATCAAAGCTTATTGCTTGGGAAGCATTGAAAATTGGCCTGGGCAAATATTGTTAGTGGAATGGTTTGTGAAGAACCTGCCTAGTATGGGCCAACAGGTCTGCTGCAGTGTTCCTGCTTTCTTATTTTCGTTTGTACACCAGCCAGGGTGCTTCCCCACACACACACCAACCAGGGTACTTCCCCACACACCAGCCAGGGTACTTCCCCACACACATTATTTGATTTGAAAGGGACCTGCATATGAGTAAACAGAATTATCAAAGCTTATTACTTGGGAAGCATTGAAAATTGGGTTGGGTAAATATTGTTAGTGGGATGGTTTGTGAAGAACCTGCCTAGTATGGGCCAATAGGTCTGCTGCAGTGTTCCTGCTTTATGTTCCACACACCAAGAGTCTTCAATAAAGGTAAGTATGATGTTATTGTTTTATACTTGATTTCTCATTATTTTCTGTATGTAAATCTATATTTAATCTAGAGAAAAAAAAATAATTTTTGTTAATACTTCTGGGTGTCTGGAATGGATTAATTGGATTTACATTATTTTTTGTGGGGAAAATGGTTTCGAGTTTCGTGAATTTTGACTTTTGGCAGACTCTCTGGAACGGATTAATCGCGAAACTTGGGGGTCCACTGTATCGCTAAAGTCTGAGGAACACTAAAAAGACATTTTAGTTATATTTTTAAAGAATAATGAAATCAATTAAAAAAATATGTTATTTACCTTGTCATTTGCCCTTAAAAATGCTTTAAGTATGACGAAAAACACCTCATAATTTGGGCAACACAGGAAAGACTTAACTCTCGTTAAGGCTAGTTTGTTGAAAAAATAAATAAATAAAACTAATAAAATTATATTTATCTTAAACCAACACTTTTCACCTTTTTCAAAACTTTAAGTCATATTTAACTTATCTTCGATTGTAACCACATTACATTTGGAATTACTAGCACTGTCTTTCTTGGGACCCATGGCTAACACAGACACGAAGTCACAGTGAAAGGCAAAACAAGCACATGATTGCAGCATGGGCAAAAATGCACATGACATCACCCTTGTTCTGAATGAGAACCAGCAGCAACGCCGCCACGCAACAAGACGAACTACGCAATGACGAACATTTGTTTACAATTTTTCAATGTAAACATTTTATTGTATATGTATACATTTTTTATGTTTTTAATATCTTTAATTGTATTTTAAATTATTTTTAGCTTTTATCTTTTATTGTTAATTTTTATGCATTTTATTTTAAATATATTTTTAAGGAAAAATTTCTTTATTTCACGTCCTTTTATTATGATGTGACAATGTTGGACGTGATGACATTCTCTGAACTAAAATTTATTCTAGAAAAGTGGTGTAAAAGTGAATTTGATGTAAGCCAAAATGACAAAGCGGGGTATGACTGTACTCTAACGTGTTTAACCCTTTCAGGATTTCGGCCGTACTAGTATGGCTTACGCACCAGGGTTTTTGACGTACTAGTACGCCTAAATTCTAGCGCCCTCAAATCTAGTGAGAGAAAGCTGGTAGGCCCACATATGAAAGAATGGGTCTATGTGGTCAGTGTGCGCGGTATAAAGAAAATCCTGCAACACACAGTGCGCAATGAGAAAAAAAAAAACTTTGACCGTGTTTTTGGATTAAAACGGCGACTTTGCACTGTATAGTCGTATAGTATTTATTTTTGTATTCTAATTTTCCTGGTCTCATTTTATAGAATAGAAGACATATTACAGAAATTGAGATGATTTTGACTGGTTTTACAAAGAAAACTACCTTGAAATTGCACTCAAAGTAACAGAAATGTTTCATTTTTACCAAAGTTCAAAAGTAAACAAATAATGCTATGCGTCCAATACACATCAACTGGTGAGTCTAATATTCTTTCACAAGTGCGCTGATAATATTTATACCGTTTCTACACCAATGCAGTAGTCTGCATAACAGTAAATCTTCTATTTTTTTGTGAGAATAAAAATTCAAAGTGGAAAGCAAAAGAATGTAAGAGGGGCGTGGGAACGTGACTAATGAACAGAGGAAATGTTATTTTAGTGCCAGGAATGTCTTTCTTGTTTATTCTGGACCCTATTCGGAAATTGGCATCTTTTGAAATTTGTGTGAAATAGGCAAAGCTGCTAAATTCTGACCACTGTATTGGATAATTGAAATCGGTAAATGGGTGGTTTCTTGTACTCATTCGATAGAAAAAATGGAGTTCTAGCGAAATAGTTATGATTTTTGTAGACAAGTACACTGGAATTGGCCAAAAATAGGGCTCAAAGTGGGCAAAATTGCCGATGTGTAAATATCGTCGAGACCGCTAACTTCGTGAGAGCATAATTCTGTAAGTTTTCCATCAAATTTCATACTTTTGGTGTCATTATGATCAGGAAAAGATTCTCTGTCTTTTCATAAGATTTTTTTTTTTTTTTTTTAAATTTGGCCGACCCTGAGAACGAGTCTCTGAGAGGGCCTGTCGACCCTGAAAGGGTTAAGAGATGAGAAAAATGATCAGTTAATTTAAGACATTGTATTTAATAACAGCTACTTGTTGAAAACCATTAAGAAAAAACGTACCAATGATTTGGACAGTAGAGAAGGCTCCAGCAGAACACTCTGGGTCCAGGAGAGCATAGGGTGCCGTAATACTCGTATTCAAGTAAAAAACTCCATGAACACTGGGGAATTACGAAAAAAAAATTATATCTGACGAGTTAAAAAAGTAAATACATGTACAGTGGACCCCCAGTTAACGATATTTTTTCACTCCAGAAGTATGTTCAGGTGCCAGTACTGACCGAATTTGTTCCCATAAGAAATATTGTGAAGTAGATTAGTCCATTTCAGACCCCCAAACATACACGTACAAACGCACTTACATAAATACACTTACATAATTGGTCGCATTCGGAGGTAATCGTTATGCGGGGGTCCACTGTATACCTTTCTCTATTTAGCTAAATCAAAACTAGTACTTTTTATGAGTAAAATAATCTCAAAAGTATTAATACTTCTAAGAAAACCTTAAACGATTTAACTCTGCAATGGGACACCTGGTGGCTAAAGCTCCCACTTCACACACGGAGGGCCCAGGTTCGATTCCCAGTGGGTGGAAACATTTCGACGCGTTTCCTTACACCCGTTGTCCTCTTCACCTAGCAGCAAATAGGTGTTAGTCGTCTGATGTGCGTCGCATCCTGGGGGACAAGATTAAGGACCCCAATGGAAATAAGTTACAGTCCTTGATGATGCATTGACTTTCTTGGGTTATCCTGGGTCGCTAACCCTCCAGGGTTAAAAATCTGAAGAAAATTTTATCTCTAATCTTAATGCTTATGGAGTGATCTTGATTTGTTAATAGAACTACCCACTTCTCTTCCTGAGATCAAACATAACTGAATCCCATTAACCAGGCAATGTATGCCCCATATGGGTTTAGCTCCTTTCCCAATCTCCCCACCTCATTTCCCTGAAATAAAAAATTACTAAATTTCAAAGTACAATATAAAAAAAAAATATTGCACAGAAACTTACTCTGTATTGACATTGTATCCCATATACTGTGCAGGATGGCTACATGGGCAGATGCCAGTATTGTACAGTTTCCACGAGAGACATGGCCGGGCAAGAAAACGAGTTGTGGCTGCACTGTATAAGAGAGACTCTGTATACAGGACATATGCCATTCCATGATCACAACTGCTGCCATCTGTTATAAGTACAGTAAATAAATATCCATAAATCCTGTGTAATTATAACATACAGTTTAGTGCATTTTTTATTAAATGGTATACAGTATGTAACTTATTAATACTGTACAATACTAGGGTTGTATCCCTCATGCACTTTATACAGTTTATTTTTCCTCTGGCTTGAGAAACAGAAACAAGACAAAAGGAAAGAAAGTCTTGAAAACCAGTCTCTGAAAAAATCTTGCCCTTCCTGAAAGCTGAAAAATGGATTATAAGTACATAAGATCCAACTAGATACATACATTATGCCTTGGTCTGAAGAATTGCCAGAGAACACAGGACTACATGCTCAGTATATTATTTAATAAAATAAAATATTTTACTATCAAAATAAAATATTATCTTGATATTTAATTATTAATTGCATTGTTAATTATTTTGTTTTATTGTTATTGTATTTTTTAAACACACTGGGTGTCTCCCACCAAGGTAGGGTGACCCGAAAAAGAAACACTTTCACCATCATTCACAATATCAATGTCTTGCCAGAGGTGTGCACATCCAAAAGCTCAGATGTCCCTCCAAACAGCTAACATCTCCAGCCTTCCTTTAGAGTGCAGGCACTGTACCTCCCACCTCCAGGACTCAAGTCTGGCTAACCGGTTTCCCTGAATCCTTTCAAAAAATGTTACTTTGCTCACACTCCAACAGCTAATTAGATCCCAAAAACCATTTACTTCCACTCACTCCTATCTAACATGCTCACACATGCCTGCCGAGTGTCCATGCCCCATACACACAAAACCTCCTTTACCCCCTCTCTTCATGCTTTTCTAGGATAATCCCCACCCTGCCCTCCCTCCACTGCAGGTTTATACAACCTTCAAGTCAACCTATTTTGCTCCATCCTCTCTAAATGACCAAACCACCTGAACAACCCCTCCTTAGCCCTCTGGATAATACTTTATATTCACAAAATATGCTCAACTCATACAAGTGACACAATGCCAAAAGTCTGAAAGAAGCTATCAGCTAAGGTAAGTAATACTAAAGATGAACTTTACAAGTCAATAAGGAAAATTAGAGTTGGCCAAATCATTTCAATGAAAAAATCAAAAGTTCATCTTCACTGAAAGAAGTGTAGGCAACATGAGAGTACCCAGGCTCTGAAAAGTAAGCAAAAAAATTAATCTTATGTGCTCACTGGTAAAAGGAAAAATTAAGCAAAAGTTTCAACTATCAATGAAACTTGAGTTACAAAGAGAGGTACCAAGCATCACTTGCTCAGCATCAATCAGTCAAGATTGCTGAGCCAGCCCAAATTGTTTTACATGTCAGAAAACATGATGTAATAGTGACCAGTTCGGTATATTGTATGGTAAGGCAGGACAGAAGCGAGATGATGCCAAAGATGCTACCTCTAGTGACTCAAGAAATTTGAGCTCTTCTTCCCTTGGATAAAAATAATTGCTTCCCATTCTCAGGTACTGTATGATCTTCATGGGTGTAGCACATCCCATAAATATAATGATAATTGCTCATTACTCCATGAGGAAGTGGAAAAGAATTCTTCCTCTGAAAGCCATGAGTGTCGTAAGAGGCAACTAAAATGCCGGAAGCAAGGAGCTAGTAACTGCTTCTGTATAAATTACAAATTGGCTGTATCCCACCCTGCCTCAGTGGGATATGGCCAATTTGTTGGGAAAAAAAAAATTGCTCATCAATGTTATTGCAAATTTCATCAATAGTCCATTATTAGCTTATTAGATTTATTGGTGAACACTTAAGTAAATAAATAGTACTGACCCTTGACAGCAGTAGCACCATCTCCTCCAGGCATACAAGAAGGCTGGCGTTCACCACCATTGGGCCAAAAGTCTGCATCACCCAAATTCTCATCAATGCCATAGCAATCCTGCAATAAAGGAAATCACATCGTACTGGATTCTTTGAATGGTTTATAGTGTGTACAACAAGAGTTCTTAGCCAAATATTTTGCACAACAGAAAGAAAATCTTAGTTTAATAATTCAAGTTAATCTGAATTTTCATCATCTATGAAACATAAAACTTAAAATGTAGTAATGTGTTAGAAGTTCATAACTTCAAACCATTGTCCTTGTGTTTAACTAACCGTCCACTGGCTAAGAATGGTAGTACAGCCATGAGTGTGGATGACGTCCACAAAGGCAGCATCTGTTTTATCTAGTCGGTCGGTTGACTCAGCCTGGTGGTACTTGAGTCCCGCCGGGTCTAGACCTATCGGGCAGAAGGTATTGTCACTGTTCCTCATCATCTACAACTTCTAGGTACCAGAATTTATCTTAAACAGATAAATGTTATATAGGATGTATTAATACACTATTCAATTCTCTTGGGTTCCTTATAATTCATATACATTTTACATATTATAATATTATATATTATTATTTATATATTTTTATATATAAAAAATATTATTTTACTATATATA